CTTTTCTTCTTCTTTTTTTTTTTTTTTTTTTTTTTTTTTTTTTTTTTTTTTTTTTTTTTTTTTTTTTTGAGAAAGGGTTTCTCTGCAGCTTTGGTAGCCTGCTCTGGAACTAGCTCTTTTAGTTTAGCCTAATGTTAAATATTTCTGGAACTGGCTCCTCCCCCAAAAGGTGGGGCCAAAAACTAGGCACTAATAAAAGCCAGTGCCAGCTCTATTCTGTGCGTGGGTTTCTTTCTCCCGCTTCACCTGTAGCGGCTCTGTCGCTGTATCTCCGTGCATACGGCCTGAGGTCTACGTCCTGATTCTGCTTCGGTGAGTCTGGGCCTCTCATCTTGTTGGGGAGGGTCGTCACCTTGGGCTGGAAGTTCTGAGGCAGTGTGGGTCAGAAACGCTAGAAAGTCGGGGGCTCGGCTAATGGGAGTAGTAAGGCAGAATCATTTGAAGAAGTCCTGTTATTTAGGGGCTCCTTTGCTGAGCATCAGGGCCTGTCTTCACCAGACAAATGCGGCTTATACGGGCAACAGTGGCGTGCCTCGCCATGACTTCCTTTCCGAGCTTTGGCCATTGCTAAACCCAAGCAGGATGCAAGGGTGTATAAAATGCCAGGGCAGGTCGTTATCCGGATTAGACTGTGACCAGGAGACAGAGGCAGGCAGATCTCTGGTTTCTTTCTTTCTTTTCACATACGTATATGCAGGCAAAGCCTCAAGCATAAAAATAAATGTAAAAAAAAATATTTTTTTTTTTGATTTTTTTCGAAACAGGGTTTCTCCTTAGCCTTTGGTTCCTATCCTGGAACTAGCTCTTGTAGACCAGGCTGGCCTCGAACTCACAGAGATCCGCCTGCCTCTGCCTCCCTAGTGCTGGGATTAAAGGCTTGCGCCACCACCGCCCGGCTTCTTTTATTCTTTTTTTGAACAGATCTTGCCTCAAGTTTATTTGTAAAAACAGCATAAGGTCCTGAACATCTCAAATACTGTATTAGATATTCACACTAGTCCATATCTTCATATCGGCAGACAGAGATCTTTTTTATGGGGCCTTCACAGGGGCCTGGGCACCTTTGGGAGCCTGAGCTGCAGCTGAGGCCTCTGTCTTGGCTTGAACTTTGGGGCTTTGTTTTTTTGAGCCCACGACCCCTGGCCATGTAGCTTCTAATCTGCTTCCCAAGCTTTGGGTGAGCAATGAAAGCAAGATGGGTGAGTTTGCAGTTGGGGCCCTTTGGCATCTTGGGCTTCACCACCTGGGGCTTCACTAGGGCCTTGATGGCCTCCGCACGTGCGCTCATGGCCTTTGCATGATTTGCCTGCGTCTTCAGGCCTTGTTGTGCTTCTTGGCAAAGCGCATGCTCCCAGGGTACTTGGGGGTTGACCCCCTTGAGAAATTGAGCGGGTTTTTTTTGATGCCATTTCTGTGCCATTTTCGGACTGGTTGTGTGTGGTGTGGTTTTTGTATTTGGCCATGGCTGGACGGTAACCGGCATCTCACTGAAGTTGGTGTAAGATGGCCCACTGCAGATACCTGGCCCTTGCAGCTCCCATGACCAGCATCCTTTCTGTTCTCTCAACCTGTCAGAAGGACCTGGGGACTGGAATGGGGCTAAGGATTTCAGTAATGAAGACCCAGGTCTGAGGTCACTATTTTGAGCCAACTAGAGCAGCAGTTAAGAGTTTGGAGTTCTGGAACAGTCTGGCCCGTTAGTCATTTTTCCCCAGTAAGACAGAAACGTTTGAAAGTTTCATAAAGGAAAAAGTGTCACTCAAATAGTTTGCATGAAAACCTGTTTGGTTTTTGTTTCTTCCGGGGTGTTTTTGAGACAGGGCTTCGCTAAATATTTACCTAGGAAGGCCTCAAGCTCTAGCTGTCTTCCTCAGCTATTCCAGCGCTGGGGCCTCAGGAGTGGGTCACACCTTGCTAAAACTATTGAGTTATGATTTAGTATGAGACTCAAGGGACCTGAGCCTACTTCGTGTTGTTTCTTTCCTGAGACGACTCACCCCCTGTTTTCTGATTAAGGGAGATTCAGGCTAGCAGCCCTGCCCCTCCTGGTGTGTCGTGCCCCCTCCCCTGTCCCCACCTCTCTGCTGGAGTGCTAGGATTACAGTGAGACACCCTGTCTGATTCTGGTTCTACTTTTTTTTTTTTTTTGTTTGTTTGTTTCTCGAGACAGGGTTTCTTTGTAGCTTTGGTGCCTGTCCAGGAACTAGCTCTAGTAGACCAGGCTGGCCTAGAACTCCCAGAGATCCGCCTGCCTCCCAAGTGCTGGGATTAAAGGCTTGCACCACCACCTTCCAGCTCTGGTTCTACTTCTGACTTCCTCTCCTCTCTGGATCAACAGGATAGCTAAGCAAACTCCACATCCCTCATGAAACAGGAACAATGCTGCTATATTTAATAGCTTTGCAGGAAGATTTAAGTTCTATGGAAATGAAAAATGCTAGTAACGTAGTGTATTTGCTTTTCAGGCATTTTTGTAGCTTAATTGGACCCCTTGTGTCTAGTGCTGTGTGGTAATAGATGCTCTTCTTGCCCATCCTGGCGTGCTGCAGGGCGGGAGTCATCCTGACTCTCCACAGTAGTTCAGTTCAGTTCTGAAGGTGATCGCCATCAGGAAACTCTCACACACTGGTGTCCAGCCTATCTGCCACTTGTGGTTCCTTCTGGGGAAGGAAAGGATCACCAGGAGCCCTGCGGTGGTAGGACACGCCTTTAATCCCAGCACTCAAACTCAGAGAGCTCCTCCTGTCTCTGCCTCCCAAGTGCTGGGATTAAAGGCGTGCGCCACCACCACCACCACCACCACCTGAGTAGAATCAATTTTTATTTCAGATGACTTTCCTCTGCTACCTCTGCTCTCATCCTCTTCCCTTGTCTGCCACCTTTGAGTTTATTTTATTCTGGGAATCACCTATGTTGTGAATAAAGTCAGCTTGCAGGTTTGTCAAGTTCCAGGCCTTAAATGCATCTGTAGCTCTGCTTAGGCTTCTGCCACTGCAGGGAGCTGTTTTCTCCTTACAAACAGTGATGGCTGTGACGCCCACCTCCTGCGCTCATTGGTAGAGAAGTTTTAACCCCCTCGAGTTGATTTTGTCGTTTCCTCCTGTCTCTCTGAAACTGTCTGGCCTTTGCAAGTTTCAGCTTAGACCTGCTGGGATTTGGAGCCGCTCTTGCTTCCCTCATCTTTCCACCATTGTTTGGAAGATGGCAGCAGTATGGGTTCATCTCTAGAGGTGTCACTGTGTTTGTGTGAGGCTGCAGTGGGCAGGTTGTCGATTCCCGAGTCGTGGAGGGCATTTGAGAGGCAGCAGCGCCCTTTAGGAAAGAACCGGTGGTTGGATGGACTGACATGCCGCTGGTTAGGAACGAAGAATGGGGTCAGGACTGGGGTCTGAGCCGGGACTGATCGGCCTTCTCACTTTTCTTATTAGGTCCTCAAGACTCAACCTAGTTCTACAAAGAGCTTGACTCCATCCTTCAAACACCTGAGGAACTTGAGTTTCTCTGAATCTGCCTGCCACATAAGGACTAAGCAAGAACCCCAGCTCAGCTTCAGCTCTGTGCACCACTTGCTCTCCCCATAAAGGACAATGATGAGCTTCAGTGGCAATCAAATCCAACTGGAAGATTGTCCAATCACTTCCGGGGGTGATCGAAACTCCTGTTGTAGTCAGACGATAACCCCCAATGCTGACCAGACTTGTTGTGAGCCTAAGGAGATGGCCCTCAGTGGTGACCAGCCTCTCTGTAGGAGTCAGATGAGAAGCCCCAGTGGTGAGTTACTCAACTATGGGGCTCAGACAATGGCCCCTAATACAAGCCAGACTTTCTGTGAGGGTCAGATGACTTCAACCAGTGATTCAATGGATAGGGTTGAGACGACCCTCCCCATTGGTAACCAGACCATCTTGGGGGGTCAGATGACTCCAACCAGTGACCTTATAAAGGGTGTTCAGACAACATCTACTGGTAACCAGACTTCTTTTGGGGGTCAGATGACACCAACCAATGACCTAATGGATGGGGTTGAGGCGACACTCCCCACTGGTAACCAGACTTTCTTTGGGGGTCAGATGACAACCCCCAGTGGTAACCAGGCTTCCTATAGTACTCAGATGATGCCCTGTGAGGGTAACCAGGCTCAGATGGCCACCCTACATGGATCCCAGACCTCATATGGCTCGCAGTTGACAAACCCCAGAGGTGACCAGACCTTACATGACCCCCAGATGACATACCCCAGAGGTGGCCTGACCCATTATACGGGACAGGTGATGTCCCTTGTTACCCTTATGGGTAGCCAGCTGCACTTTCTGGACAGATCCCCATCTATTTCAAATTCTCACTTGGCACAAGAACAGCCTCCAGAATGTTCTTCAAGCTTTCCTTCGACAGCAGGAAATCTCTCAGTCGTGAAAGAAGAGGACCTCATGACTTGGGTCTCTGAGTTGAAGAAAAGGAAGAAAAGGAAGAATTGGAAGACATACAAGTGCAGACAATGTGGACAGCTATTCATAAGAATTTCCCACCTCCAATGGCATATTCGCAAACACACTGGTAGGTGAGGGTCTGTGTGTATGGGGGCAGGGGAATGGCTACAACTATGTGCTCTTTTTATAAGAGCTTTGATATTATTTGAGATTATTGTCATTTCCTGGAAGTCTGGGACCCCAGGAGACCCTGGGGAAGGTTGCCAAGTTTGAGGGTGGATAAACTGGTTTTATTGGTAGCTCAGGTCCGAGCCCAGGAGACTGGGCTCTGGCGTCCCTTGAACTACAGGACAGGCTGAGTGGGATATTAATTTGGTCCTTTGTAGATGTTCGTGGGCTTGTTCTTTTTTATTTTACTTTTTTATACCCCCGCCCGAGATATGAGGTCACACCATGCTGTCCACACTGGTTTTGAACAGCCTGGTTGAGGAAATGCTCCCAACCTGAGCCACCAAGTCCCTAGGGCTATTAGCATGTGCCCTGCTCAGAGACTGTTGACTCCATCTCTGTAGGGACTGTCTCTGCTTGGACCTCCTCCTTCATTGGCTTTCTTGTTCATTCCTTCCTTACCTCTTTTGCTGTTTTTCTTTCTTCTCCTTCAAAGGTTTCCTCTTGACTTTCCAACTCAACTCTCCCACAGTTTTTTGTTTGCTTTTTTGGTTTTTGAGAGTCTTTTTTTTTTTTTTTTTTTACGTGGTTAGCTTTGTCCTTGATTACAGTAGGGTCCCCTGAGCCTCCTTTCTCTGAGTGTAACAAACCTCTCTTTCTCTCTGCTTCAGGGGAGAAGCCCTACAAATGCGCCATACCTGGATGCCAGTTGACATTCGCCTGAGCTCAGCCAACACATGAAAATGCACTGAGAGAGGCACTCCTCTAGTTGAGCAGTGTGGAACAAGGACTATTCACGGTCGGATAACCTAAGGCACCACCCGGCATTGAACCCATCAGTCCTTCCTAGTGCTGTGGTTAAAGGCCTGCACCACCACATGGGTCTTTCAGAAAAGCAAAAGGACCTTCTTTTGGACACTGTATTCTGCCTAAGAGCTATCAGTTGGCATATTTTACTCAAGATAATGTGTGAACTTTGTTTAAACAATTGCTAATAAAAAAATTGTCACCCAAGTAGCAAGTCTTTGTTCCTTTAACCTGAGTTCTGTGGAGAGGCCTAAGAGATGAGAAGTGCTGGATGCCAGTCTAGCTTAAAGAAAAACCCGCTGCAGGTCCAGAGAGAGACCTGGCTGCAAAGAAAAGGCAGATCATGGTGAAGGACACCAGTGTCAACCCAGGCACAGATTCACACTCACACACAAGATTATCAAGTGGGCCAGACATGGTTGCCCCTGACTTAATGCCAGGCTGCTCTCTTGCTCCCCATTCATTGTTCCAGCGGGTGTTGGGAACTGATGCTGCTTCTTTGGGCCCTTCTTTAATTTTATATCAGCTTTCTTTTGTATGTTTTTTGTTGGCTTTGTTGTCAGTTGATGGCATGGCATGGGTAGGAAGGACTCAGTTTTCTTTTAGGGGCTGGCCACTGGCAGTCTGACCAGGCAGGCTACAGGGAGTATACAGGCAACGCAGTTGGTATTTTATATTTTCCTTGTTTTTTGGGGGGGCGGGAGGGGAGAGAGCGTCACAAGGGGCCATGAACCTGGGAGGTCTGAGAAGTGATGTGACTGGGGTGCATTATGGGAAATTCCCAAGTAAGAAAAGGTTTGTTTAAGGTCCTTTGTGATCTATTCACCCATTGTTTTGGGGTGCTTTGAAAAGTATTTTTCACTCAGACCTTCAAGGGGAAGACTGTAGATCTCGGATACCATGGTTGCTGTGTGCAACTTTTTGAGTTGAGAATCTTGACCAACCCACGGTCATCAGGGAACCACCGTGGTTGGACCCTTGGGGGACCACGTGGCATTATTTTCTTCTCTTTAAAGCATGAAATATAGTCTATTGTGAGTACAAAAAAACTTAACATTTTGGGACTGGAGAGGTCGCTCAGTGGTTAAGAGCACTGACTGCTCTTTCAGAGGACTAGGGTTTGATTCCCAGCACCCGCATGGCTGTTCCAGGGAACCTGTGGCTTTCACTTGCACACATGCCGGCAAAAACCAGTGCACATAAACTAAATTAAAAAATGAATATCTATAAAATCCCATCAGCCAGGATTAGGTAATCTGGTCCTGGAGATGGCCTTCCAGGACAGCAGCCTTGGACTCAGTGCCAGGCAGTTAAGTAAGAGGGAAAACAAAGTACAATCTCCAGCGTTCTTTCTCCATAAAAGCCAAATGAGGCAGAGAAGAGAAAGCCTATCACTGTTCCTGAATAAAATGAAAAAGGGACTGGGTGGTGGTGGCACAGGCCTTTAATCCCAGCACTTGGGAGGCAGAGGCAGGTGGATCTCTGTGAGTTCGAGACCAGCCTGGTCTACAAGACCTAGTTCCAGGACAGTCTCAAAAGCTACAGAGATGTCTTCTCTACCCTGGGAGCAGCTCTCTTGCCTTGGCGCCTCACCCCTGGAAATGTATGCCTGTTCCAGGTTCATCTCCACCCGTGCCTTGGTCAGGAGCACCTCTCAGCTGCTGAGCCGTCCTCTGTCTGCAGTGGAGCTGAACCCACAGACACGGAAAGATGAGGTCCTCAGCAGCTTGGCAGTCCCTCGTCCTTTGACCTCACTCGTCCCTAGCCGCAGCTTCCAAACCTGTGTCATTTCCAGGGACATCGACACAGCCGCCAAGTTCATTGGGGCTGGGGCTGCTACTGTTGGGGTGGCTGGCTCTGGGGCTGGGATTGGAACTGTTTTTGGGAGCCTCATCATTGGTTATGCCAGGAACCCTTCTCTGAAACAACAGCTCTTCTCCTAAGCCATTCTGGGCTTTGCCCTCTCAGAGGCCATGGGGCTCTTTTGCCTAATGGTGGCCTTTCTCATTCTCTTCACCATGTGACACAGCTGTCTCCACTTCACCTCCCGTAGTTTCTTGTGTCCCGTCTGCCCTGTAAGTTCCTTTTCCTCTACCTCCCCAGGAAGTCTGGGGAAAGTGACTGGCTCAGGGTTTGACTGAGAGAAGACAAATACTTTATTAATAAGATGTTAAAAAAAAAAAAGCTACAGAGAAACCCTGTCTTGAAGAACAAAAAAAAAAAATTAAAAAAAAGGTGGGGGCTGGAGAGATGGCTCAGTGGTTAAGAGCACTGGCTATTCTTCTAAAGGTCATGAATTTAATTCTCAGCAGCTACATGGTGGCTCACAACCAACTGTAATGAGATCTGATGTCTTTTTCCAGCCCGCAGGCCTACATGCAGGTGGACCAAGTAAATCTTTTAAGCCGGGCAGCAGTGGCTCACGCCTTTAATCCCAGCACTTGGGAGGCAGAGGCAGGCAGATCTCTGTGAGTTCGAGACCAGCCTGGTCTACAAGAGCTAGTTCCAGGACCAGGCTCCAAACCCACAGAGAAACCCTGTCTCGAAAAACCAAAAAAAAAAAAAAAAAAAAAAAAAAAAAA